AACAACAGAAAGGTAGATTTCCACCAGGTCACAGAAACACAATTGTGCACTGTAGTCTTCTTTAATAAACACTAATTCTTCACAACATTGTTAACATGGTAATGTCTTCACAGCTTGACTCCACACTTTGAATATATAATCAGTCCACTACCAGTGTACAATTCCTTAGTCTTATCACTTTATATTAATCACAACAATTCCACAATACTTGCACAACAATCATCTTCAGTTGTTCTAATAGGCTTAGTCTTTACACTATGAACAGAAGCGATCAACTGACTCCTAGGTAGCCCGCAGCGGCTTATATACGGTTCGTCAGACACCTGGAGCATTCTAGCGATGTCCAGACACGAAAGGTCGACTCGCGACACGCCTGGAGAATTCTAGAATGATCTACATTTACAGTAATAAGTAAATCATAACAAAAATGATGCAATACATTCGAGAATATTCTTACACAATTAATACGTGTATACGCAAAAATTTCAAGGCCTTTGTCAAAATAACTGCTGCATGGGACAGAAAACACTCAAAATATGTAGTTTACAAAATTATGCCTCGGCATAACACATGAGTTTATACAGTATGTACACGTCCAAACAATATATTACTGTCTTCTAATCTTTACCCTGCATCATAGGTGATTATAGTTAAAAAAAAAAAGATGGAAAGAGGTAAATCTGAGAGAAATGCAGGTCATTCTACCCCCCACTGAATGACGGACTTAAGATTTCTGTAAATCAGCACTTGCCAGACCACCCAGGAATCACCAGACAGTTGGAAGAGATTTAATATAACTTAACTTTTATCAATTAACTGAGCACAGAATTCTTGTTAAAGATAACAAAAATTAAGAAAATTATTACTAAAAATTAAAAAAAAATTAATTAAGGACAAAATAATTTGAGCCATAGACTAGCACCCATCCATGAACCAAATATTGGGAACCTGTGATCTAGGGCAAAGGAACTGGAACTTGAACCATACAAAAGATCTGGTTGATGCAGACTCATGATCCTTAACAATGGAAAAACCCATTAAAGACAAAGCATCATAAGAAAATGGAAAGAAAAGCTCCTTACCAGTACCATAACACTAAATTCTAAATATGGGAAGTATGGAAACCCCCGAAATTCCTTTCACTTGCACTTACATGTGGGTTACTCAATCACAAGCTTCATTTTCCTCAACTGTTATCCTCTTCACCACTGATCAGCTCGTTAGCCGCTTGGGCGATTGGTAACGTCGCTGTGATGCACTGTTGGCAAGTACTAGGCACATACTGGCTCTCCATTATGCACTGTTGGCAGATACTGGGCATGCACCGGCTCCTGAATGTACATGAACCTGCTCCAGTGTTGGTCAAGTCTGGTCTTGAAAGAACTCACACCTGGTGCCGTCACAACACTTTCTGGTAGATTGCTCCAGGAGTTTACAACTCTCACTCCGAAAAAGTTTGCCCTCATAGTTTTCTGGGCTTGCGGCTTCTTCAATCTTGAGCTGTGACCCCTTGTGGGGCGAGCATCCGCCAGCTCCAAGTAAGGACACTCAACTGAGTAGTACCCCTTGAGATGCTTATACACTTCAATTAGGTCGCCCCTTGCCCGTCTGTAGTATAAGCTAGGCGAGTTCAGGTGCTCCAATCTCTCATATTAGTTGAGGTGCCGAAGAGCAGGCACCAGTCTGGTGGCCCTCCATTGAACATTTTCAACCAACTGACAGTCCCTAGCATATCTCGGGGACCAGGCGGGGTGACAGTACGCCACATGGGGAAGCACGTCACTCTTGAAGATCATTACGAGGGACGGACCGTCAAGATATCTGAACGACCTTCTTATAAGACCCAATAATTTATTTGAATGATTTACCTTCTTCTCACGATGGCCCGAGAACTTCAGCTCATTGTCAACGTACACACCTAGGTCCTTCTCACATTCAGTCTCAAATAGTGCAGTTTCTTCATCCCGTTGGGACATATGATACGCCTCCTTACCATTGGTATGCCCCAGGTGCATCCTCTAACACTTTGTGACATTGAATATCAGCAGCCACTTCTTCGACCATTCTTGGAGCCCACAGAGGTCCTTCTGCAGCTATTCACAGTCCACTTGGTTCTTTATTTCCCGAAATAACCTGGCATCATCGGCAAACATTTGTATGGAGGAATGTACAACGTCAGGCATGTCATTTATGAAACAAACAAACAACAGCAGGCCCAATACACTGCCCTGTGATAGGTATGGATGATTATTTCGTGCCATTTATCACCACACACTGTTTGCGATCATGTAGAAAGTCTTCTATCCATGCTAGGACATTTCCCAGAATTCCGTACCCTTCCAGTTTGATTTTCAGCCTTTCGTGGGGTACACTGTCGAAAGCCTTGGCAAAATCTAGGTAAATATTGTTGATATTACCACCCCGTTCCAAAATAGGGGTCCAAATATCCAATACCTTGAGCAATTGTGTTAAGCAGGAGCGCCCCGACATAAAACCGTGTTGGCAATCCTTTACAAGGTTGTTTCGTAGTAGATGTTCCATCGCGGCATCTCTGATAATACTCTTAAGTACTTTACATATTAAGCTGGTCAGGCTCACTGGTCTATAGTTGTTCGTGGAGTGACAATCGCCCTTCTTGAAGATAGGACTCACATAAGCCACTTTCCATTCACTGGGGACCATTTGTTCATCGAGGCATTTACAAAACAGGATCTTTAGGGGCTCGGCAAGCTTGTTGCTCAACTCTCTTAGCACTCTAGGATGCACCATGTCAGTACCGGGACTATGGACCTTCAGCTTTGACAGTTTATTTCTAATACCCTCTTCTGTGAACACTATGTGGGTCAGTGCTGTGTCGAACCGTCTGTCCTCAAACGCAGGAAGGTTAATCGCATTCTCTCTTGTGAACACCGAGGAAAAGAAGCTGTTCAATGCCTCAGCTTTATCCTGGTCAGAATCTGCTCAACTACTATCTTCAAACCTCAGGTCTGATACTCCTACTCACGTTTTTAATTTTGACTTTGCGTAGCGGTAAAATGCCTTTGGGTTTGACTTGACATCACTTGCAACCAGCCTCTGGAACTCCTTTTCAGCCCTTCTACATTTTATCTTTGCTTGGTTTCTGGCTCTTGCATACATCCTCCTGTCCTGCTCATCATTTGACCCAACCCATCTCTTGAATTTCTGGGTTTTCTTCTTAACTTTATTGACCGCCGCATGGTTCATGTGTAGGGATCCCCTCATCCAGTTTAGCCACCATACCTCCTCGTTTATTATGATGAGGTCTAATGACTTGGAGTGTTTGCTCCCCTCCAATGTCTTCATGGGGTCTCTCTAACATATTTGAACAGAATATCTCCAGTGTTTTCTACAAAAGAAGTAGCAGGTTATTAAAAATCACGTGGGGTGAACTCGTTTCTCCAGTGTCGATATGCATGCATAGTTAAAGTCCCCATGAGAAAGAGGTGGCTGGGGTTGAGAATCGCTTGTTGTCTATTAAGATTAAATGAAGTTCCTTTGATTTAGTGGGCCACAGTTTGGGGATCTGTAGATACACCCGACGAAAAGTAAGTCCCCTCCCTTTAATTTAATTTACACCACTTGAACTCTTCAAAAACATTCTCTCCCTGTACCCTCGCCTGGCTGGCTCTAAGGTCTTGCCTAGCATAGATAACCACACCCGTCTTGCAAGTTTCTTGAGAAAGGTTCGTAAATGAGTCATATCCAGCAATACTGTACTCACATTCCTCTGGGTTGATTCTCCTGTTCTTGTACAACAGTTCTATTACTCCTACAATATCTGGTTGGTGTACCTTCAGTAATGTTTCAAACTCCTCTCACTTATCAAGGAACGTGTCAGTATTAGTGTACATGACATTCAAGCCAGAATTTGTTCTCGGTAACGTCTCTGCTCTTAGTAGTAACCCCGCCGCGGGACCCCCCATTCTCAGAAGCTGCAGCATTGGCTAAGTACAGTACACTGTATTTTGCAGGGTGTGGTTAGAAATGTCATTGTTTACAAGGCGCTCGCCTCCTCCCGACTGATAGGCGGAGCTGGTGCCACCTCCCGGGCAGGGGGTAGAACGGGTGGAGGGTGTGCTGCTGTCCCCCAGCCCTGTGTCAGCACACTTGCTTACACCAATCTCTCCCTGAATACAACCCGTGTACACCCGCCCTTGCTCCTCCTCGACTCCTTCCTTCTCTGCTTCAAGCCCTGCAGGAGCTTCCTGTGCTGTTCCCTCTGCATTACCATGTGTTCTGGGTGAATGAATACACTCCCAAATGCCTCGCTCCTTGCTAAGTTTTTTGCCTGCCGAATAACCTCCCATTTCTCCTCCTCACTCACTAGTGTGATCCTGAGGGGGCGAGGCTTGTACCCGTGCTTTTGTCCCAGCCTCCTCTCATCCTGAGGGGTTGATGGCATCTTCAGAACCTCTGTACAAATATTCTTAAACTGCATTTTATCGTGTGTTATCCTATTCTTAGTTCCCTCCGCCTGGTTCTTGACTATAATTCTTCAAGCAAAAACCTGGTTCAAACCTACTCAATCAAAAATAACCAACCTAAATAAATAAAACTAACTACAAGGTTACAGAACAACCCATAGAACCAATTTGAAAGGAAACAGTCCCCACCTTAATTTAAGCAATTTAAACAGTGATTAATTGATTGATTGATTGATTGATTGCATGTGAAGCAAGCAGACTGATTCTTCTGTATCAACAAAAACAATATAAGTAAAGGGAGTAAACCCCTATTAATCCTCCAATGTGCTCTCCTGGGAAGAGCCCAGAAGCTTCTCATATGTGGAGGACACATGTTGGTGGTGTAGCCAAGAATAATGGAGAAAACAGGACTTAAAGTACGTTTGGGTTCCACTGCTCTTACTGAAACAAAGTAACTTAAGGTGGCCAGATTTCATTCTAAAAAGGCATAAATTATGAATATCTTACTCACTAATGTACAAATACAGAATGCAACTATAAAAATGAAAGTGGTACCTTGTTGGAGTAGACTGAGAAGAGGACTTCTGATGTGACAGCATGAAGCCAGACATTGAGAATGTATAATCCAGAGGATGAGGATGCTAAGGAAAATAGTGATGATGAGATGAAGGCTGCTCTTACAACAGCAGCTATGTGCCATATAATTATGACCTTACTGGCTGGTGCAAATGGCTCGTCATGACATCTTAACAGGGAAACCAATTTCTGTACAAAATAAAACTATTGTCATTATGGTAAAAAAAATAATATATATATATATATATATATATATATATATATATATATATATATATATATATATATATATATATATATATATATATATATATATATATATATTTTTTTTTTTTTTTTTTTTTTTTTTCATGTAGATCCTGTGAAAACGTGGATAAAATAAATCTTGATAAAATCACGGGAAAAGGGAAACGGAGCATAGCGTGGTGTGGAACAGAGGGTCCCGTGTTAAGTGAAATCAGCGTTAAGTGAACAACAGAACATATGGGATTAATTCCAATAGAAACCAGCCCGACCCCCAAACTCCACTTTTTGAAGACACATAACTATGTTGTAGTATAAATAACATCTTAATTTTATGATGGTACATGCACACAATTAATACTTAAGAGAAATAGAGAAATACAGTCGCCAAGTTAATGTCCATTCAAATAATGGACTCAACTCCCTCCCCCTCTCACACTACACTGCGGCTCTTCCCTCCAGAGAAATTTTTTAGAGAGAAAACCACTAAATTTTAATAAATAATACCTCAAACTAAAAGTTAGGATAATACAATTGACATTGCTGGATTCTATTGTAAGACCAGAATATTTTGAATATAAATGTCATATATTTTTTACTGCAAAAGATAACATAGTTACTCAGAAAAATTTTTTATCTAAAATTTGTATGTCTAATGCAAAATATATGATGTTTATATTCAAAATGATCACCAAATTATAAGAATTCCAGCAGTGTAAATTATATTCTGGCCGGGTAATTTGTATGAATTTTATGAGCTAAACAAATATCTTCAGTTAATAAAAAAAAAATAATCTTCACGACACTATCTGTCAATCAAAGTAACCCACCTTGCCTCCCCCCCCCTCTTCCAACCTCGCGGTCAGTCCCAACCCTCCCCCCCACCCCCCACCAAGAGAAAGACTGGGTGAAAATAATAAATTTTAACATTTTGTATTAAATAATACCTCAGATTAAAGTTAGGATAATATAATTGACATTGCTGGATTCCTTGTAAGACCAGGAATATTTTGAATATAAATGTCATATATTTTGCACAAAAGATAACATAGTTACTCAGAAAATTTTTTTATCTAAATTTGTATGTCTAATGCAAAATATATGATGTTTATATTCAAAATGATCATCAAATTATAAGAATTCCAGCAATGTAAATTATATTCTGACCGGGTAATTTGTATGAATTTTATGAGCTAAAACAAATATCTTCAGTTAATAAAAGAAAAAAAATATTCATGGGGTAACAGATGGTCGGTCGGTCCCTCCCTCCCCCCCACCCCCCACCAACCGTCCCAAGGAGATGTGTGGGAAAACCAGAATACTTAACTTTTTTGTAATAAATAATACCTCAAACTAAAGTTAGGATAATATAATTGACATTGCTGGATTCCTTGCAAGACCAGGAATATTTTGAATATATATGTCATATATTTTGCACAAAAGATAACATACTTACCCAGAGAAAAAATGTTATCTAAAATTTGTATGTCTAATGCAAAATATATGATGTTTATATTCAAAATGATCACCAAATTATAAGAATTCCAGCAATGTAAATTATATTCTGGCCGGGTAATTTGTATGAATTTTCTGAGCTAAAACAGGCAGTCAGGCAGGGTGGCGGGTGGGGCAAATCTAAAAATAGCGTCTCGAGCCGGACACTCACCGCGTATATGATGAAAAAATCCGTGTTAAGTGAAAGTTCAGCTCTGGCGAGGCACCGCGTATATGATAAAACGGCGCTAAGTGAAACCGCGTTAGGCAGGGTAATACTGTGTATATATATATATATATATATATATATATATATATATATATATATATATATATATATATATATATATATATATATATATATATATATATATATATATATATATATATATATACAGTGACCCTTCGTTTAACGAACACCTCGGTTAACGTAATTTTGATTAACGAACTGCCTTCCATAAGGATCTTCAATTCGGTTAACGAAAAAAAATTTGGTTAACGAAGTTCTTACGAACCGACCTCAACATGTTTTCGCTTGCACTGACCGGGCAACCAGCTTTAGTATCAGTCCGCCAATACATTAATCGGTTCTAGGGCTTAAATTCCTTACTATTTTAGTAAATATCAAGAAGTTTATACTATTCAATAATTTTAAAAGTTTAATATTCAATTTTTTAGTCATTTTAACAATTATTGAACATAATTGAAGGTAAAGTGACTAGTTTAATGCGCGGCATCCAGCCTCTTAACACAGCAAACAGGAGCTAGTCTCTCTCTGTTTTCACTGGAGGTAACATCTTGCTTGAGACTCTCTTCAACTAAACGCTTTTTTTCTGTGTTTCCAAGCAAATTATTGGTCATTTTGAAATTTATTTTACATATTGACAATATATAGCGCAGTGCAGTATTATTTTAAAGAAAATATTCTTTATTTACAGCTAGTGTAACTTTGAAAAACACGTGTTGACATTGTTTGAATCCAGCATGGGGCCTAAGAGATCAAGAAAAACAATTTCAATCCAAATAAAGCAGGAAATAATAAAAAAACACGAACAAGGCATTAAATCAAATGCGCAATGCAAAGAATATGGCATGTCAGCATCAACTGTGTCGACAATTCTTGCATAAAAAGACAAATTTAAAGAAGTGAACGTGAGAGACAAATCTACAAGTGTTTAAAAGTAGATCCCTAATCGTTGAAACTGAGAGGTTACTTATCATCTGGATTAGGGAAAAACAGATGAAAGGTGATTCAGTTTCTGGTGATTTCATTTGTGAAAGAGCCAGGGAGATTTATGAACATTTAAAGGCAGATCAACCTGGTTCTTCAGGAACAGAATTTGAAGACTTTCAGGCTAGCAAAGGCTGGTTCGAAAAATTTAAGAAAAGAAGTGACATTTTAAGTGTTGCTAGGCATGGTGAAGCTGCTAGTGCTGATAAAGAAGGGGCAGCAAAGTTTTTAGTTGAATTTAAAAAAACTGATGGAAGAAGAAAATTATCTTCCTCAGCAAGTGTTCAATGTGGACGAAACTGGGCTGTTCTGGAAAAAGATGCCCAAAGGAACATTCATAACCAAAGGTGAAGCCTCTTTACCTGGGCATAAACCCATGAAAGACCGTCTCACTGTATTGCTTGGTGCCAATGCTTCAGGGGATTTCCGACTGAAGCCTATGCTTGTCTACCACTCTGAAAACCCCAGGGTGTTCAAGCAACAGAAAGTGGTAAGAACAAAACTTGGAATTTATTGGAAGTCTAACCGTAAGGCATGGGTGACAAGACAGCTCTTTAATGAATGGGCTATTGATGTGTTTTGCCCTTCTGTCAAGAGATACCTAACCACCAATAAACTCCCTTCAAAGGTTCTTCTCCTCATGAATAATGCTCCTGGTCATGACCCTGGCCTTGCCAGCAATTTGGAGTATCAATTTGACTTTGAGAAAGTGTTGTTTTTGCCTCCAAACACTACATCAATCATACAGCCAATGGACCAGAATGTAATCAGCAACTTCAAGAAGTTGTACATGAAGAAAATGTTTAGGAGGTGTCATCAGGCAACTTCCACTGATCCTGAACCAACACTGAAACAGTTCTGGAAGACACAATTCAACGTCCTGGAAGCTGTAAAATTGATTGTGTCATCATGGCAAGAAGTCTCCAATAGAACCCTCAATTCTTCATGGAAAGCACTGTGGCCATCAGTAGTCCAAGATTTTGAGGGATTTGAGGAAGAAACAGAGTTGGACCAGGAGATTGTGTCCATTGGTCAGTCATTGGGCCTTGAAGTGGAGGACGAGGATGTGGAAAAGCTTGTGATGTCTCATGAGGAGGAACTTACTCCTGATGACTTGAAGCAACTGGATGAGATGTTACGGGTAGAGGCTGACAGTGGTGAGGAGGAAATTGAAAGTGATGACCATATGTCAGCTAAACAGTTGAAAGATGTGATTTACTACTGGGAGAAGTTCAGGGAACTGGCTTCAAAGCACCCAGAAGTGGAAAAAACTGAACTAACTTTGTGTCATGTTGAGGACTCAGTGGTCTCCTTCTTTAAACATAAGTTAATGGTGAGGAGGACAGGTGCCCCACAGACCACAATTGACACTTTCTTCAGTAAAAGGCAGAGGGAACAAGATGCTAGCCCCCAGCCTTCCACTTCAAGAAGGAGAGAGGATGATGCTAGCCCTCAGCCTTCCACTTCAAGAAGGAGAGAGGATGATGCTAGCCCTCAGCCTTCCACTTCAAAAAGGAGAGAGGATGTTCATGGTGGAGAATCTGTCAGTCCAGAGGTTCCTGACATTTTCATGGAAGGTGACTCACCGTCCAAGAAGCAGTAAAATGCTTCTCCTCCACCTCCACTTCCCTCTCTTCTCCCTTCTCCTCCTCCACCTCCCACTTCAAATGCACATCATCATCATCATCATCCAGGAGCCTTCTACATACACACCTCAAAGTAAGTAAATTTTTCTACCATTTTTGTTGAAGTTAGAAAATTTTCGGTGAGCTGGAATCAATTACCCAAAAACCCATTGAAACAATGGTTTCAGTTAACAAACTTTTCGGTTAACGAACGACCTTCTGGAACGGATTGAGTTCGTTAACGGAGGGGTCACTGTTTATATATATATATATATTTACAGTCAACCCTCGTTAATTCGGACTAATAGGGGGGGAGGGTGTCCGTTTTAGCCAATTGTCCGAATTAACCGATATAGGGGTTAATATTGCATTATATTTCAAAGTCATTGTTTTCGTCACGATTTTATCCCACTTTCCACTGTAATACGTACGTAATTTCAGCAAAAAATATTACATTTCCGTGAATTTATTATATCAAGCACAATATGAATAGAATATCATTGTAATATAACAGTATTTTAACCGAAAACTATTAAAAAAATGAATAACAACTCAAGAACATCGGAAGCTTAGGTAAAGTCTTTTGTTTTCGTCATGTATTTTATACCTATTTTACATTGAAATACATCAGGTTTCAGCAAAACTACTATTTATTTCCGAGAATATATTCATTCAGGCACAGTTAAGGTAAAATATACGTGTGATGTAACAGTTTTTTAACCGAAAACGATTCGAAAAACACGTACCCTCTAGCCCTGTTCAAGGAGAGGACTGGGAGAAGCTGTTTGGTGCTGCAGATGATGACAAGGAAAATGATTTGGATGGATTTTAATGAAAATATTCAGAAATATGGTATCGTAGTATTTATTCAAGTCAATTAGGATAGAATATTATTGTAATACAACAGTTTTTTAATTGAAAACCAATCGAAAACCGATTACGGTAACATCTTTTGAACGAAAGAAAGCGAACGTCATTGTTTTCGTCACGATTTTATCCCACCTTCCACTGTAATGCATACGTCATTTCAGCAAAAATATTACATTTCCGTGAATGCATTATATCAAGCACAGTATGAATAGAATACCATTGTAATATAACAGTATTTCAACCAAAAACTATTTAAAAAAACGAGTAACTTCTCTTGAACATCGGAAGGTTAGGTAAAATCTTTTGTTTTCGTCATGTATTTTATCCTATTTTACATTAAAATACTGTACATCACATTTCAGCAAAACTACTATTTATTTCCGAGAATATATTCATTCAGGCACACTTAAGGTAAAATATACATGTGATGTAACAGTTTTTTAACTGAAAACGATTCGAAAAACACGTGTACCGTCTAGCTGATACTCAACAGCTGGTGGTGCGTCATGCGTCGTTGTAAACAATAGGAGGTTGAAGTAGATTACCGGGTATTATATTAAGTGTGAAATATCGAAAAGGTTTTTATTACCAGTGATAAGCTAAGGTACTCCGTTGTTTCCATTATCCTGTGTGATTTTATCAAGATTTACCTTATCCACATTTTCATTGTGGATTTACATGATATATATATATATATATATATATATATATATATATATATATATATATATATATATATATATATATATATATATATATATATATATATATATATATATATATATATATAGTAATACCCCGCTTAACGCGATTTCGCTTAGCGCGTTTTACCGTATATGCGGTGCCTCGCCAGAGCCGAACTTTTACTTAACGCGGGTTTTTTCCACGTATACGCGGTGAGTGTCCGGCTCGAGACGCTATTTTTAGATTCGCCCCACCCGCCACCCGCCTGCCTGCCTGCTCTCGCCTCTCCCTCCGTCTCGCCTCCCTCCGCCTGGGCAAGCCGCGCTGTAAGGTTGCGCAGTGTGTGTCTTCTACTAACGTAAGTGTCACACCTAACTTTTAATTTTCCTAACCTAACCTTTATTTTTCCTAACTTAACCTTTATTTTTCCTAACCTAACCTCTTCTATATTACTTGTTTGTTCATACCATCATAAAGTTAAGATAAAATTTTTACTACAACATAGTTATGTGTCGTCAAAAAGTGGAGTTTGGGGGTCGGGCCAGTTTCTATTGGAATTAATCCCATATGTTCTGTTGTTCACTTAGCGCGGTTTTCACTTAACACGGTACCCTGTGGGTTTTATTGACCGCGTTAAGTGGGGTACTACTGTGTGTGTGTATATATATATATATATATATATATATATATATACAGTGGTCCCTCGGTTAACAAACACAATTCGGTCCATAGAGTCATTCATTTACCTAAAATTTTGTTAACCGAATCCATTACTTCAATGGGATATTGGATAATTGGTTCCAGCTCACAGAAAAGTACATACAAAGTTAAAAAGAAATGCAGTAAAGTAAACTTACTTTGAGGTGTGTATGTAGAAAGTTCCTGGTTGATGACGATGATGGGAATTAGAAGTGGGGTGGAGGAGAAGGGAGAAGAGAAGGAAGGGGATGGTGAAGAAATCACCTTTCAGGGGACCCATGCTTAATGCAGTAATTTCACCAATATAATTTTAAGTTTACTAGGTGTAATTCAAGATTATTTTATTTAAATCAACACTGCACTGTGCTATATATTATCAATATGGTAACTACATTTGAGAATGACCAATAACTTTAATGTAAAATGGCAAAAATATTCAAGACACCAACAAAATTGATATTCACTCCACTGTAAACAAAGCCAAACTGACGCCTGGTGGGTGAGTCAAGCAGGTGATGGGCGCACAAAAAACTAGTTCCCTGTACAGTATAGTCTGGGTTTACGTGCATATTTTATACGTGTTCAGCTATTTACGCGGCACCTGTCCAGAAGCGATAATTATTATTTACGCGGTAAATGCCATCATATATGCGGCAAGCGGTGGGGCAAGGTGCTGGGCGCTGACGTCAGACTCGCGCCGATGATGTCACGGACTGTGATTGGGCCATGTATCCTTAACACCCACGCACACCCTCCGCCGCGAGCTGTGATTGGTCTAGTTATCCTTGCCACCCCCGCCACCCCTGCTCTCCACCGCCGCGTCAGTCTCACTGTCTGTGTATATTCACTCGTGCCCAGGAACCAGTGTTTTTTTTTTCTTTTTACACAATGGCTTCCGCGAGGCTCATTCTGTTGCTGTGGCATTGGAGAATGCAAGAGAGGCTGCACAGTGTGTTAAAGCTGCAGGCTTCTCCGAGACCACCAACGACGACATCCTGGAGTTAATCAGGCTACCTGAGGTGACTGCGGACGAGATGTTGGAAGATGATGACATCAGTGAGCAGCGAGGTGTTACTGAACAACAAGAGCAGAAACTAACACATGCTGATGTGAAGGAAGTCATCAAGTTAGCCGAGAGAATGAAGCTCATTCTTGCCAAAGACCCTGTCAATCATCGCTACAAAGTGTCTAATAACCATCTGTTGAAATGCCAGGAGCCCATGTTCAGCTGTATCACGACCACATCGATGCAAGCCGTCAACAAAACATCACCGAGTTCTTCACTCACCAACCACCACAGCCAGCCCAAGTCAGTGATAGTGAGGATGTAAACTTCGAGGAGGCCTTGCTAGCCTCTGTGGTGGATAGAGAGACAGGTGAGGACCAATAATCTGCCCTCTGCCTCGGAACCAACCCCCCCCATCCCCGTGCCCAGCCATCTCTTCTACTAATGTAAGTGTTAAAAACCTAATATTATTAATATTTCTCTATTATATTAATTGTGTGTGCATACCATCATAAAATTAAGATGTTATTTTTACTACAATGTATGTATTGTGTCGGCGATAGCCAAAAAAAGGGTGGTCTGGCGGTCGGCCCAGTCTCTATTTCAATTAATCCCATAAGTTCTGTTACTTTTTTTTACGCGTTTCGCTTTATACGCGAACCTCCATGGGCTTAATTAACCTCGTAAAACCAGAGTATACAGTACTGCATATATTATCAATATCTTAACTAAATTTTAAAATGACTAACAATTTTAATATAAAAAATGCAAAAATATTAAAGAGCACAACTTTCTTGATATTTACTCCACTGGAAACCTATGTAAACATAGAACAGATTACTGAATTGGCAGACTAGCCCATCAGCTGATGCTCACAACAGAACGTGCTTGAAGTAAGGATTTCGTTAATCGAAGTTTTGTTCGCTAACCGAATTGAAGATCCTAATGGGAGGCAATTCGTTGACCGAAATTTCGTTAATTGAACCGTTCATTAACTGAGGGACCACTGTACATCATTAAAATAGCTTAATGGATTTCTTATTATATTGAAGTACTGTACTGTATTTAGTATGCCATAAAAGGATGACCCCCTCCCCTAATCCTAACCTCATCTCTAGTTGTTGCTGATAGGGTGAGCAAACGTACCAACTTATGATGATACAATGGGGATCATATCAAAGCATTTTGTCCAGAGTTTCATATTGTAGCGACAAAAAATCTAACGATACTTTTTGGGGGGACTACATGTTACTATTGGGTGATGCTGTCTTGTGAGAAAGCAACAGTGATAAACGAGATAAACATTGCAGGGCAGTATTGTGAAAATATAACTCATTTGGTACAGCTCTTTAAGTGAATGAAAGAATTCAGGGAAAAATAGTTTGCTCTTGGTTTTTGGTTACCCTCTAATATACTGTAGTGGGAAAAGGCTTGCAAGTTAAAAAAATAAAACAAATACAGGTATTGAATATCTCAAGAGTTCTTCATAAGATACATACATTTAATGGCTACTTATTGAATTGTACAGGTAAAGTAACTGAATAAATTCTTTGAAAGAAATGACTGGAGACCAAGAACAGTTACCAAATTGATGATACCAGATGCTCTGGGTACAAAGTACACAAATGACAAAACTAAAATAAATAAATAAATAAATAAATAAATAAATAAATAAATAAATAAATAAATACTGTAAAATTAATTAAAATCCAGCAACAGTTTTGAAACAAGTATAATGGTATAATAAATACATTTCAAGCCACTCTATCACTTGTCTTGTTTTGCAAACATAATCAATATGACTCTTAACTGATATTTTAGTTCATTAATATCTCTTATTGTTATATACTGTAAGTCACCAGTGTGACAATCATAAACAACTAACTCACTATATCAGACACCTCTCCCTTCTCTTATTGAAGCTAGACGTCGCATTCTGGATTGAACAAAAAAAGATAAAATCCCCAATCGATATGAAATTTTACAGTAAGTCAGAAGTCTTTAATTTACTTTCCGTGAGATTTATTGAAATTTTGTTTGATTAAATTTATTTTAATTAATTATTAATTCAGCAATCTTTCCTGTAATATATCATTATTATTAATATTATCTTTGATGAGACTTTCAACAGCTGCTTTGTCTATTAACTAGAACCTGAATAAGATTGACAGCTAGACATAACTCCTGCTATGAACTTTGGTCAAAATAACTCACCTCAGCAAGAGAAACTGTAATGTTCATTAATGTATTGCACATTTGGCTTTGTAAGGGTGCAATCGGCATTAGAGCAGACGATACACAATTTGTACAAGCATTCTCATCTATGCCCATACTGTAAACAGTCCATCCGCTGAAACTGTAGAAATCTTGCACTGTTGCTCTTTTACTGTCCTGCTGAGTGCACACACATAATATATCTGTTGATGATTGAGAAATGAATACCAATTTCTAGAATAAAATATACATACACATCTCAATACTACAAAAGTTTTACTGTCTATAGGCTGGTTGGTACAAATCTTATCAGTTAAAATAAATTTGTTTTGAAATAAATACTGGTAGAGTAACCAGAAAAGCTTAAATATAAAATTTAACCTAAGAACTTACAGGTATGACTAAGGTTCATCCATCGTATGCATTCACTAGTGTCATACATTCCCTTGTGATGAGCCAGACCTTCAATAAAACTCCACGCTGAAGAACCCACCTACAAGGCAAAAAACTGAATTCATATCACAAAAATTAAAGAGATTTCATAATCATATAGTACAGGTATGGGACAATTTATCTGGCATGCTTGAGACCTGTGGGTTACCGGATAGAGCTTTTTTCTGGAATTTGGACTACCAGGCCTAAACTAGATAGAATGTGCACTCGCAACAAAAAGTTCTCAAAAGCTTTAAGGGTCATACAAATGACAAAACGAACAAGATAAATGAACATTGGTCTCTGAGGAAGTTTCATTGCAAGTCAAATTACTTCTTTTCACCTGTAAATACTATAAGCCAAGCAACATACAGTATACAGTACTGTATATTATTAAGAAATATTGAGTCACTTCACAACCAGGCATACTAATCATTCTGAGATGACATAAGCTATAGTGCTCATTCTGAAATCTGTTGAAAAATTTTTGTGGAGAGTACAATATACCTTCTGTAACTGGCTGTGAAGCCTCTGTTCAGATCAATAGATTCACCCCTAAATGTAGCTTTACCTGCCATTTTTCTAAAAAAACAGTTTTTGTGATATAGTCCAGAATGCGACGTCTAGCTTTATATCTAGGTATGAAAATGTCTAGCATTAACTCGCCAGGCCAACATACAGGCAATTAAAACATTAGGAGGACACGTCGCTACCTGGCACTTAAATGCAATTCTCAAAACCCCGTCCCACACCCTCCATCACACGCATTGCTGCCGTCATCTCTTGCCCTAGAGTGAGCAGTAAACAAATGTCAACTCTCGAGGGGTGGAGATTGGTGGGATGACGACATCACATTCTGGACTATATCACAAAAACTGGTTTTAGAAAAAATGGCTTTTTTAAATCAATGAAAATCCATTTCATTTCACCAGAAAAACAAAAAAACAAATGATATATTGTAATTTTTCACACTGTATAAACAATTATCGTACCTTTGGCACAGGTATGCTTCATAAGCCCACCTACAAGCCCAGGCCAGTTTGAAAAGCATTTACTGTTTTGGTAATTTTTAAAAATGTATAAATAAATTAGAAATACATTGCTTAGGGGCCCCTATAAACTGTCTGGGCCCCAAATGACTACTTGTATGATGGGCAGGCAGGGTCTGCTCAGTGGAAACAGCTAGAAAAATATTCTGGACCCCCCCCCCCCAAAAAAAAAAAAAAAATTGGAAGTGGGTACCACAGGTTGGATGGCCTGCTAGGGACAGTATGGATACTACAGCTACTGCACACTGTATATGAGGCACGTATGACTTGAGTGGACTAAGTGGCAGAAAAAAATGAAGACTTCTGGCGCTTACCTCTGTGTGACCTGCCGCCCATCACCCTTGTTATATACAGGGGTATGTGCATATTTATATGCTCTCCTCTATTGATTATATATACATTATTAATTATGTAACTTCTTACCAAAGTTAGAATGTGCTTAGGCCTGTGTAATCAAGAATGTGTTAGGCTCATTGTACGACTAGACAGAATAAACCACCTGAGCAAGAGTCAGCATGTAGCTTCTCCTTCTCCCATGAAATCATGTAAGATACTACTGTACAACCCTCACCGCCAGCCCTGCATGTAGTGACACATGGGTAGTTTTACATAATAGAAAATTCAACCATATTGTCACTTCCATTCTGATTAACCAAGTCTCTTGGGATACAGAGGTGATTTCTTTATCCTTTTTGTGAATAAATCTCGATTTTGACCATAGTGGCACTTTCCCCACTCTGGTCGTATGCACCTCATATATACTATCCTTTTACTGCACAAGAAGGCAACATGGCTGACATCATACTTCCTCAAATGTAAAATTGGGTGACCTGGGATAAAAATCAGTAACTCTTATGAGAGTTGAGTGTTGTACAATATCCACTAAGCCAGGTAATCCTTAAAACTAACTAATTTCTATTTAATCACATTAATACAACTTTATATTTCAAAAACTTTCAGTTTACGGACTTAAATAAAGGTCAAAACAAAGTAACAAAGAACAGACCAATGACTGGTATAACTGGTAAGTGGTGAAATGATACTAGAAATAAAATGATAAATAAATAGTAATCAAGATTATGAGGGGACCACCTGGAAATTTAACAAGAGTCATCTGAGGATGATTTGTCATTACTGGCTCCTAATATATACAGTAATCCATCAACAGGCTTTCCCAGAAGGATTGTTCTGTCTTTCAGTCTGTCTGTTTGTAGTTGTTTGAAAATGGAATCATCTTCACTACTTACTGATAAACTGCCAATGTCATCAAAGCAGATAACTACTGGTACAGATCCAGATGGGGTAAGAGTATCAAAGGCTGCCCTTGAAAGGTGATTCAGTACCACATCTTCTATATCTGTTGCTGTTGTAGCTGCAGTAACATTCACCTTAACAGTTGCCTAAGGAGACATGAGCTTGATAACTGTTACAAAACAACTTCATTATAACATTAATTCTAACCAAGTACATAAATTTTCAAATAGATCTTCAAAAATGCTTATACAACAGGTTTAATCAAAATATCTAATGGTCTATCTTCATAATGAAGATAAATAGCACCAAACACAGAAGGAAAATACACCTGTATATACTACTTAATAGAAAAGTGAACACGGGTACAGTCGACCACAAGAATAAGTATACAGTACAGTACACCTACGGTTTCTTTGAGACAAAATAACTGGTAACACTGTCCTGAACAGAACAGACAAAATTACAAAATGACCTGTAATTTATGTTTTATTCCTACATATATGTTATCAATACATTTGTTGTGAATGTTTTACTAGTGTCTTGTGTTTATATTACAAGTAAAATATTGTATCCAATGGTAGTAAACTTGTTGCCGAATGGGATTGCAGTTATCGTACAGCTCCCTCCTCCTCTCCCACTTTTTCTCTTACCCTACTTTTCTTTCACTGATGTTTGGATTAGTAAAGGAAGGAAGAGGATTAAATAGAAGAATAAAGAAGGGGAAACATAAAATAGTTAGAGATAACAGGTGGGGGGAGCTGAGTTTCATCATGCGTCTGGATGCGCAGTTTCATCGTTACCAGACCATTTGCGGACCTTATAGCTACAGTGTGTATTCTTATTCCTGTGGCCGACTGTACATATCACATATTCCTTAAATTCAACAGTCATAAAGAAGTCATAGCCAATGTGTTACCTAATTCAAACCATCATATCTATATTATATCACTAACCCAATCTGGTAGAGACTGTAATGCCTTTAGAACAGCTGTTGATTTGCCACATGCAGGGGGCCCTACTACCACAAGCGGTTGATCGACCTGCAGGAACAAAGAAAATATTAAAGCTACCTGTATGTAATATTTAAAAAATAATTTGTATCAAAATAGCTCCAAGCTTCAGGAACTGTACTTTATTACAGAGTTGAGCAACTGATGGCATAGTACTCCCAGAAGCATATTTAAAATACTCCCTTTGAATTTTATTATAATTATGCTGTATACGACTCTGCACAATTGAAGCAATTTTTCCCATGCAAAACAAAAATTTGTAGAAAAGGAAAGGAATATGGAGGCAAAATTTCCCCCCCCCCCCACCCTGTTTTTGGCCCACAGAGCAAAGCTTCATGGCAAAAGTACAAACTGAGTAGTACCTGCTCTAAGTTTGGAAATGCATGGACCTATTCAAACAGCAACCCTCAAATCAACCTGCCATAAGAGTCTAAGAGACTAAGTTGGATTAAACATTCATGCAAAGTGATGTACAGTCACAGTTAAAAGTAATTATCGGGGTACCCACTCCACCACCTAACCTCTGCTCCTGCTCTGGTCCTTTCTGCACAATAGCTCACATAGGGTGTAGAGGGGGAAGGGTCCCCTTGGGGGAGGGCTGTTTGTTGGGGATTGGTAAACAATGTAAATTACTCATCAGAGAAGGAAGGGAATGAAGAAAGCAGGAAAATTCATAAAAGAAGGAAGGAAAGGACTGATGTCACTTTTTTTCCCACTACAGGTATATTATCTTAGGTTAAATGTTTGAAAGAGATGAGGACCCTTGTTCTATGATTATTATAATGTACCATCCATTTCCAGGGATGGTTATGGGAGGGGGGGGTCCTGGAGGTCCAGACCTCCCCATTTAATAAAAAAAATCCAATACTTCTTCTTTAATGCAGTATTGTACTACAGGCCCACCACCGATTTTCCGTCACCCTTGGTTCTAAAGCCTTGCTGGATTATCTGTTTTGCTGGACCAACCAAGGTCAGGTAATATTAATTCAACAATACACCTCTGACCCTCTAATTATACACCTCCTGTGTCTCTAAAGCACCATGGACTGCTAGAAACTTAAATTAAACCAATATTAAATGTAAATTAAATGTGAAAAAACCATAATTTTGAGCAATATTATTGTACACACTTTGTACTCAAATGCACTACAGTAGACTAAAATTTTTATCTCTTGTGCAAACTATGTGATGTTTATACTCAAATTAATCACTATCTTAAAAGGATTCCAGCAAATAAGTTACAATCTGCTAAGTTTAGTCTGTGACATTTTATAAGGTAAAAACTTTAAGCCTAAAACTAACTTCACCCTGGCTGGGAGGGAGGTTAAGTGCCCTCTCATAATTTTGTCTGGACTAAAGGAGGTGCCGGACCATCAATTCCCGGAAAATCGGTGGTGTACCTGTATTGACTTCAGAATATATCCTAATACTAAGTGCACATGGCATCAAAATGACCTCAAAATGCTCATAATGTTGGTCAGATTTAAAATAAAATTTCTGGGGGAGGGGGGTTACAGCACCTAAACCCCCAAATAATTCACACTTCCTCCCTCCCACACTGCATATTGCCATAGTAATCTGAATACAATATAAGCGAATAATACTAGTAATGATTGAAAAACAAAACATATATTTATTTTATAAATCTTTTTTTAGTTTCATTCGCTATGCTGCTACATTCATTTATATATATTTTTTTTTTCTTGAAAAAATCATTATGTATATACAATACATGGCTGTAAGACCAACTGGAACTACTGTAAAAGCGCAGGGAGGGAGTAGACTTAGCGTACTGCACTTTAAATGAGTTGAGTTGCCACTTTTAATAGTACACAGGGTATTTCTTGTTTTCTTAGGTCATTTTGTGGGTGTTTGGGCAATAAAACAAATATTTGATTTTTCCCAACCAGGGGGGATACCATGTATGTATAATAATGTCACCTTTTATGGGTTAAGAACTATTATATCAAACAGTAAATCCAGTGAAATATGGCAATGAGGAGGAAAGTTACAAGAGCAGATGACGCTCAACTAGCGGTCACCTATTCACTCACTCCACTTGTCAGGCACACGATCAAAATAAGTATGGGAGAAATACATATCTTGTACAGAAGTATAATTTGAAAACAGTGATGGGCACAATGATGATAAATTATATAAACTATGCATTTACCTATGATAACATAATAAGAAACATTGTGTCATTATTAGAGTGAATGAAATAATATTCCCCAAATAAACAATTGATAACTCTTGGGTACGTGTGTCGCCTTGGTTTCTTGAAATTTTCGCTCAAGGCGGACACATGTCATGTAAAGACAAATTTTGTCCTACTTTTTTTTATAATTTTTTAATTATTTTAATTTTTAAATTATTTTTTGACAAATAATTTTGTCCGGTTTAAGCAATATCAGCCTTAGTGGGGTTCGCCTTAACACGGTAGACCGAGAGGTAGCAGTGCACAACACATGCGATGACAGCAGGACACAGACTGAGCGGATGTAAGCAAACCCCATGTGCCAAGTAATGCATGGCGCATTTGGCGTGGAAATTAATGGAATCACGCTCAATTTAGTTAAATAGTTCAGTAAATCGAGTGAACATAATGGAAAGATTGATTTAGTGGAAATTTTGATTTAATGAACAGGGGTGGCTCAAATTAGTTCATTAAATAGAGAAAATACTGCACTTTGCAGATACCAATACTAATAGAAAATTTTGAAATTATTTAAAAATAATAAGCAAGCTTAATGACGGCTAAGTATATGTATTAGATGAGATCGTCTGATTCAACAAAAACTTTAATTTTATTCAGAATATAAAACACCCTATACTGTATACATCTTCTCAAGACTCAGGATGTGCAGTAAGATTCTTGGATCTTCTGCAACTCTTTGCAGAAAATGAAATCCTTTGAAAATGTTTTACTTCCTTACCAAATTTAATTTGAAATTGAAAAAAATGCACATATGATACCATGCTACACAGGTATATATACAGTAAAACCTCGCTAAGGCAGACCCTGCTAAAGCAGATATTGCTTAAGCCAGACAAAATTATTTGCCCCCCAAATATTAAAAAATTTAAATACAGTAATTCAAAAATTAAAAAAAATAGGACAAAATTTTTCCTTCAGTTGACATGTCCACCTTGAGTAATGACACAATGTTTCATACTTTTACTTTTATCCTCTTCACCACTGATCGGCTCTTTAGCCGCTTGGGCGATCGGTCACGTCTCTGATTATTTTTCCTTTTCATTTATCCTCTTCACCAAAAGATCGGCTCGCTAGCCGCCCGGGCGATCGGTCACGTCTCTGTCACGCACTGTTGGCAAATACTGGGCATGCACCGGCTCCTGAATGTACCTGAACCCGCTCCAGTGTTGGTCAAGTCTTGTCTTGAAAGAGCTCGCACTTGGTGCCGTCACAACATTCTCTGGTAGATTGTTCCAAGAGTTTACAACCCTCACTCCGAAAAAGTTTGCCATCACAGTTTTCTGGACTTGTGGCTTCTTCAATCTTGAGCTGTGACCCCTTGTGGGGCGAGCGTCCGCCAGCTCCAAGTCTGTGGTTTGAGAAACACAACTGCCGAGGTATCCCTGTTGACTCGCGCACTCTCCGGGAGAAGGCCAAGTCTTTGTACAATTTCTACTGTAGTGAAAATGATAGTGAAGGTGAGAAGAGTTTTAATGCCAGTAAAGGCTGGTTCAAGAATTTTAAGAAGAGGTATAGCCTTCATAACTTGAAGATTCAAGGGGAGTTGGCATCTGCCAACCAAGAAGGCTGCAAAGGCCTACTCCCAGAGTTTGCTGCACTCATTCTTAAGGAAGGCTATAAACCTGAATAAGTGTTTAATGCTGACGAGACAGGCCTTTGGTGGAAGATGCCCAGTCACACCTTCATCAGTCAGTCTGAGAATGTTGCACCCTGCTTCAAGGCGGACAAGGAACATGTCACCATTCTCATGTGCTGTAATGCTGCAGGACACCTAATAAAGCCCATGCTGCTGCACCATTCAAAGAAGCTGCACTCTCTTAAGAAGAAAGATATGCATCTCCTTCCTGTTTTTTATAGGCATAACAAGAAAGAGTGGAAGACTGCTGAGCTTTTTACAGATTGGTTCCACAAATGTTTCACACGAGAAGTGGAAAAGTAGCTGTGCAGCAAGAACATGGAGTTTAAGGCCCTTCTCTGCATTGACAACTGTCCAGGGCACCCAGAAACCATCAAATATGACAACCCTAATATTGAAGTGGTCTTCTTATCAAAGAGAACAACTTCTCGTACTTAGCCTCTTCACCAAGGAATAATTGCTGTTTTCAAATCATATTGCATCAGTCACAGTTTTTATAAGATCAACAAAGCACTGGAAGAAGATGGCCAGGTGGGGGTGAAGGAGTTGTGGAAAATTACACCATTGCTGACTGCATAGCAAATGTTAAATTGCGCCAAGATGAAATTACTAGAGAGTGTGCGAATTCCTGTTGGAAGGCCATATGGCATGAAGCAGTGAATGATATCACTGGCTTCCCTTCAGTGGTACAAGTGGCAAGACATGTTGGTGGGGAGGGATTTGGTGACATGCAACAAGAAGAAATCAAAGAAAAGCTGCTTGGAATCACTGGAGAAGATTTAATGAATGAAGAACTGGCTTCTATCCTAAAAGAAGATAAGCAAGATGATCAGGAATGAGATCTTGACCCAGTTGATTTAAAGGAAATCATTAGAGAAATTTAAAAAAAATTTTACACTCTTCAAGCAAGGAAAGATGCACATCTGGAATTAGACTCACCTCTAGACTGAGCACTGAAGATAAACAGGGGTGTGAACCAAATATTATCACCACACAACAAAATCTACAAAGATCTAAGGCACTAGAACTCTCAACTCCCCATCACACTACTCTTCTCCAGAGTTCCCAAAACTCCAGCTTCAACTCAATCTTCGGCCACTCCAGCCACCCCTGAATCTTCTGTTACTCCAGTTACTCCTGCCATTGCCTCACGCCAACACCCTCCACTCTTCAACTTGTTCTCTGAAGAAGAGGACGCCCCCCAAGCTCTCTCCTCCCCACCACTCTCTCTGCCATTCTAGCCTCCCCTGTAGAGGCAGATGACAGTGAGGGGCAGTGAATATCATCACCCAGCCTCATCACCACCACCATCATCTTCAACATCATCATCATCATCAACTTCATAGCCTACTCTATCTTTGCCTACAGCAAAGAGAGAGTAGGCAAGGGGTCACGTGGCAGGGGGTGTACAGGGATGAAGAGAAGTCAACACATTAGTACAGTACAGAGTATTTGTTATTTCATGTTCATGTTTATTTAATCATGTTATTTCATGTTTATTACATTGTCTTATACCCATCATCTCACCATTCCTTATATGGGATCTGTACTAATCATCATCGTCATCAAAGCAAGAAGATCCAGGATGAATGATGAGTGATCAGATATTCATACAGCACAGGTTGGTTGTGTGGTGGCATTTAAACTGAAGCAGGCCTAACCAGCCATTGCCAGATGTGCTATTGACAAACTTCTCACTGCTTCCACAATGACAATCACCTCCCACACAGAATACACACCCATGTTCTTTATAATTTTTTTTTCAATCCAGAATGCGACGTCTAGCTTTCTGTGACATATGAGCCTCAGTCAGGTCAAAGAAGTGGGCTTTTGGAATTCTTCAAAAACCTTTCAAAACAGCTATCTTCATCTATCTCTGGAAGATGCTTCACATGTGGTGGTGCTGGGGTCCCCTCTCCCACCTAGTTACTCTCCACAACCAGGACCTTCTTCTTCCTCATCAGAGTAAAGTGAGTATCCTAATTGGGATATGTAAATTAGCATTTTACCTTCCGGTAAATGTCCCTAATATTGAAAATATTAAAAAAATAAAAAAAAAATAAAAAAAATTAAATTATAATTATACTGTAATCTGGACCTAAGCTAATGGAGCCTTATATGCAATGTCACCTCCCTCTTCACCTCCTGCTCGGGTAATCAAAGCTAGACGTCGCATTCTGGATTGAACAAAAAGTAGTTTTTTTCTAAAAACCAGTTTTTGTGATATAGTCCAGAACGTAACATCGACATCCCATCCATCTCCACCCCTCAAGAATTGACATTTGTGTCCTCCTAATATTATGTATTAAGTAATTATTAGATGTTTTAATTGCCTGTGTGTTGACCTGGCGAGTTATTGCTAGGCATTAACATACCTAGGAATGAAGCTAGACGTCGCATTCTGGACTACAGTTAACCCTCACTTTACGCGGTTAATGTAACCCGGAGGGTCCCGCGTAAAGTGAATAACATAACATATGGGATTAATTGAAATGGAGTCCGGGCCGATCCCCAAACTCCACTTTTTGACGACACACAACTATGTTGTAGTATAAATATTATCTTAACTTTATGATGGTATGCACACACAATTAATAATTAAGAGAAATATCAATAATATTAGGTTTTTTAACACTTACATTAGTAGAAAAAATGGCTGGGCACACGGGGATGGGTGGTTGGTTCCGAGGCAGAGGGCAGATAATTGGCCCTCACCTGTGTCACTTGTATCAATTGTATCACTATCCACCACAGAGGCTTGCAGGGCCTCTTTGTCAAACTCCCCAAAGTCCATATAAGTCCATATCCTCACCATAATTATCACTATCACTGACTTGGGCCGGCTGTGGTGGGTGGCGGGTGAAGAACTGTTAATGTTTTGATGACTGGGCGACCTTGTGCGCACCATGTTCGCGCAGCTTACACAACATGGCGGATGGCGGGAGGTTTGGATCCAAAAATGGCGCGGCTCGCCAGCCGCTCTCCGCGTAAAGGGGTACACGCACCGCGGAATGTGAGCATCCTGGGTTCCAGCAGGGCACCGCGTAAACGTGGAAACGCGGAATGCGGGACCGCGTAAAGTGAGGGTTAACTGTATATCACCAAAAAAAATTTTAGAAAAAAAAAAACGTTTTTTTTATTGTTTAATATTATATTTTCTTTATTTCTGAGTCACATTAAGTATTGAAATGATTTTCCACAACTTTTATAGTTTCATTATATGTAACAATGGCACCATGCCTTACCCTCTCCTTCCCTCCCTCCTTAAGGTAGGGATGGGGCGTGGTAAAGACTGTAAAAACCTCTCGCAGCCAGTTGTAGAAGTTGTCAGACACAGTACACAACCTCCTTTGCTCCCCATTCAACCAACGGTGCAATTCATGGAGGGGTGAGGACCATGTTGTTTAAACCCTCGTAGTTTAATGGATATGTGTACATAATGTTGTTATACTGTACATGTGCATATAGGGTGGTCCCAGGGTTATGAACGGGTTCTGCTTCTGAGGACATTCTTAGGTTGGAAATGTACGTAAGTTGGAACATACACCCTATGTGCATTATATCATAGCCCAAGTCGTTTTATACATAGTGAATCACTTAATTTAAGAGAAAAGAAGAAATTTAATGACAAAATACAGTAAAAAAAAGTAAAAATAAAGTTTAGCACTTACATTGAAACCTGGGACTGGCTTGCATGTACAGTAGAGATGAGCATTTGTAGGAGTGACAGAGGCTTTATTGGGATGGTTGAACTGAAACTTTCTTCTTTTCATCATAAATCTCTCTGTAGCATTGTAAATATTCTGTAATACCTCTATGAATCTTGCTGTGTTAGTATCTTGCTGTTTAAATTTAAACAATCCTTCTTCAATAAGCCTGAAACCATCTGCTATTTCTTTTGTATTGAATCCCATTAGTTCTGGAGTTTCAGCTTCCTCTACATCCTCTGACAAAATTTGCTTCTCCAGTTCATACAGGTCGGCATGAGACTCAAGCAACTGTGGCATCATCCTCATGAATACATGAATATCAAACTGGAGTTGGTTCCCAAGGTCTATCACTGTCTGCGTCACTTCCCCAACATCGTTTTCAAAGCTCCTAAAATCGTGAACACACTGTGGGCAGTGTTTATCCAAACACCGTTTGCCCTTACCTGAACTGGTTAAACCAGCTCCTACTAGCAACAAAATCTTCTCCATCACTTTCACCACCATGTTTAACTTTCAAGTCAGCATGCAAGCTTCTCGCATTTTCCTGAATCAAGGCTAGACTTAAGAGGCAAATACTGTTGATTTTGAGCTTTCACCAAGATCACTATCAATCTTTCCATTTCAATTAACAATCCACTTCTTTATTTTATTATCACAGCTGAGTGCATTGGTGTAGATCTTTTACACATTCAAGAATTTTCTGTTTGTCTTTCAAAATTGTTCCAACCGTTGACCGACTGAAACTCAACGCTTTACCAATCACCGAGGGTGTTTTACCTTTTCAGAACGTTTAATTACATAAAATTTCACTTTCATTGTAATTGTTTTCCTTTTCTTGGATGCAATACTATCACTTGCACTAGGTTTGCATTTGAGAGCCATGATGAGGGCCAAAAAGGAGTTAATAAGCAAAAAACAACAGTTTGCACTTGATCACGCACGTGAAGGCGATGAGGGTAAAACATACTGACGCTCCCTCAAGGCGTGTGGTGACTCATTATTCCCCATGTGCTGCTCTGCCTTGCCGCTACACCACGCAAACTAGTTCTCATACGTTAATACTACGAACCAGTTGTATTTATTTTGAATTTTTAAAACAATTGACCTTATGAAACTTCGTTCGTATTGGTGTTCATTCGTAAGTCGGGGACCCCCTGTATAGCTATTTATACTCTATGTACTGTATTTTGCACACTTCGGGAACTGGCATGAAAAACTCGCACATTTTGCTGTCTCACAGGGTCCATTTTACCCAACCCCCGCGAGCATTAAGGGAATACTGTATTGTCAGTATCGGCTGAAAATTGTCTAATGACAATACTCCAAAATAGGCCAATACCACTGATACCGATACATCAGTACATCTCTAATTAATAGATAGCAAAGCTTGTAAGGGTTCAGAAATGGTTACTGCTTACTTCTGAAGAGTTGGGTGCCTGCTGTATGGATGCTAATCGTCTTGGGTTATCATCAACAGTACAGTACAGTAGTTATTATTGCAGCGATTATGTTTACAATATTTTTTTTAATTTATTAAAAGTAATAATAATGTGTTTATGTAAGCAATAACATATTTCTAATTCTGGAGTTGGGTTAGGTAGAATTTGGCCTACTGGAGACAGCAACTCGGGGATTCATTATAATTTTTTTTTTAACTATAGGGCACTTACTTTCACCAACTTTTTCAATAGCCAAGTCAGCCTGTGTGTGTCTATTGATGGAGTAATATGAGATCCCTCTGCACTTTTGGCGGTGTTGTCCTCATCACTGGTGGTTAGTGCACATTGCCAAGGGCGCCATGATGATGAATCAGCATCCCACCATTGATCATATACTGGTACACTACCAGAGGACAAGTTCTGCAACACTGGCAAATTACACAAAATTGATTACTAATTATCTGGAATGGATGATATATCACTCCCTTAAAATCTAAATTTTTATCAGTTTATAAATACAATGGACAAGAGAGTATTGCCTTACCCTTTGTAATATGAGTATTCAAAACTCTTTCAGTAACCATCTTATCAATGGCAGTGGTAAGTGTCTGTTGAAGTTCAGGTAACATTGTTGGGTCAACTATTGACCTACTGATCTGTACCACTGCTTGAACCTTCTCTGTTACATGATGAACATCAACATCGTCACCATCGCTCATGCTTAAGTTCTGTACCTGTTCCATCTGCCGAAAGTAAATTGAATGTAGATTAGAAAGAGGTTTATGAACCAGAGTTACTGGAAAAGTTACTGCAAACCATCAATGCATATCTTTTGCTGGTGTACAAATCATGTTAATAAGGTACATTATCTAGAGGTACTACATTTGTTATACCTACTAAATTCTTTAAAAATATTTCTTAACATCCTGAAGGAGTAGGGAGGGATGATTTTAATAATCATTGTAAATTCTGCGAGTGAAAAGCTTAAATATGGAATCAGTATTTTATTTGAACTCATTTGACCTCTTAAAAGGTCACCCTAAAAGGTCACTCAAGAATGAGGCCCACTCAAGAATGAGGCAGCATGGTAACAAAGTACAGCAATATTTCTGTTATCTGGAATCCCTCAAACCCGGAACTCTCCAATAGCCGGAATTGAAATTTGCTCTAAAATTTTCTGGAAAATTCCCTAAATTCTGGGTTTGGGAACAAATCTCGACGTTGAAAATCAGGAGCATTTTCTGAAAATAAAATGTAGAAAATCTGTCCAAATTTTTATTTATGGGTCTGGGAGTAAATATCGATAATGCAGTACTGTAATGTGCAATTACCAGAAAATCTGAGAAAATGGCACGAAAATCACTCCAAACCTTTCTGCTCAGGGACTGGGGTCCTGGCGTTATGAAAGATTGCTTCATGTCTAGCCACATCCTCTCATGGTTGGTATACAGGTAATGTTTTCTTCTTAGCAACAGTAGTACAACACAGTAATGGGGAGAACATAATATCTCTACCTTTACCAACTGTGTATCTGTTGAGGTGACTGTTAATGCTTGCATTTATTGTTAACTGGCTCATCCCAATATACTGAAATAGATACATTCCATTGAATGTACAGGTATTCTATTTCGTATTCTCAACCTATATAGGGCCCCCACCAGTGTGTATAACAATTACTTGTGAAACTGTCATATATGTAATAACCTTCCTGGGTTGTCACCACTTGTAACTATCACTTGAGAAGCACGTCACCTTATATTTTAGACATACTAAAATATAGATAAAAGTTTACTGGAACTTCTGTAGTGAAATCCAATGTGTTCATTTTCTATGGACACTTTTAAAAGGGAGTATCACCGGAACTTAATCACTGCAGCTATGAGTGTTAAATGAGGACGGAGGCTATGTTAAATAGTTCTGCTAAGTACAGTCGGCCCTTAACATACGCGGGGGTTACGTAACAGAGATAGCCGTGGATGTTAAAAATCCGCGTATATGTGCCCCCCCTGGGTATTGAGAGAACTGCTTGAGTCTTGTGTAGAGGTAGGCTGAGATGGTTGGGACATGTGGAAAGAACGGATGAGACCAAATGGATCAAGAGGTGCATGAACCTAAATTTGGAGGGGAGGGGAGCCAGGGGTAGGCCAAGAATCACATGGGAAGAGATTGCAAGATATAACATTAGAGTTATGAACCTGACAAGAGAGGCTGTAAGAGACCGTGCACCATGGAGAGCTGCCATCAAGTAACCACGGCTAACCCACTTTCAATCCTTCCCTAGACATTTCTTTTGTAGTTGCCTGGCAATAAATATTGCCTCTGTAGTCCCCTACCTGGCATAAACCCAAAAGGCATTTCATTTATGTCTACTTTATCCCTTATCTTTTTCTTGATTACTCTTTCCACAACTTTTAAACTTGCTTTACTTGCACTTTATTTAGTTTAAATAATTTAAATTGATTTTTTTTAATTTAGTTTTTCATTCCTCTAAATATAACAGAATACGATTTTATGACTGAAAATACTGATCCTTTCTACTATTTTTCACAAGAATAAATGAAAGAATGAATAAACAAACAAATGATCAGACAAGGTAACCAAGATAACAATAAACAGACAAACAGACAAATGAACAGACAGATAAACAAATACAGTAAATGGGTAAACAGATAAAAAGATAAATAAATGGACAAGCAGATGGATGGTCGACTGAATGAACAAACATGCAACACAATGAGTAAGTGCAGCACCCCTTAGAATATATTGAGAAGAGATGTAACATATTAGTTGGGGGATGGTATAGTAAAATGCACAAAGCAATTTTAAGCAATTAACAGCCTGGGTTTTCATGTCCAGAACACATGATTGATGTTGCAGTCAAGCTATGCCATCAGAAAAAAATGTTATTGGTACTTACAATATCCACCACTGCAAATTTATGCAAACCACAGGAGCTGTCACTAATAAGCTGCAAGACTGGGTGAAGAAGTCGATAAAGAAGGTAATGCATAATCTCTGCAGGTGATAGTTCTTCCTCACGTCCTGATACAGGGGTGTTGGGTTTGCTTGCACTCCTTGGTGTAGCGCTGCTAATACTGTGACGGTCAGTAGTTGGTGTTGGTGGGATAAATTCTGGCTTTGGCATAAGTGTTGCAAGAGATAAACTGCATGGATCAATCTGAACAATGCCAGACCGAACCAACACCCACTGTGGTACCTCTTCAAGACTGCGTGCCTGCAACCACCAGTGAATTTATTTTGTTACACAATGTATATCATACTATACTATAATAGTTTAATACAATTGATAGCCTTATCAGTGAATAAGAAAAATTCCTTCATTTAAAACTAAACTACAAAAACATGCTACCCTCATCAGGAATATTAAGAACTTTATATTTTAACATGTGAGAGAACCAGCCATTTTAGGTTTAAGTTCAAAACAGAGGTTCCTCTTGTTACTTTAGAGTGCTATATATTACAGGACTAACCACAGTAAACTCCATCTAACCTGGATAAATTTGGGGAAAAGCCTGTCCGGTTTGGGCAGGATCCGTGTACTGTATTTATTCAGTAAAATTGTCATACAGATTATGTGAGGAAATGTATTTGTAAGCATATCCCTAATATTTGTATACACTTACCTCTACTATAAAGGTGAGGTTTGTATTGGCTGGTAATGCATGAAGTGAATCTAGCAGTAAAGTGCCTGGTATGTCTTGGAGACGAAGCAAACACTCACTGGCACCCTTTCCTTCAATAACCACAAAACTGAAATAAAAAAGAATTAGAAAAAAGTGAAAGAATGAGTACACTGATATGTGATATTGCCATGGGTGGTCAATATCCTTAGGAGTACGAAAATATGAGAGATGAAAACAAGAGTGAGGGAGAGAGCTGCAAGTTTGAGGGGTTGAAAAGAGAGATGCAAATGAGTGGAGTTAGCTGTTGTGTGCAAATGGCACCATAGTGCACTAAAAGAAAATATGTTTGTAGAAAAGCATATGTTAGAATATGAGTTTAGAAATATTTATACTGTGTTAGTACAAGAGGACACTGGAAAACCTAAAGAAAACATGTAATGTTTGGTAGAGTCACACTAGACAGTAACCTTCTTGCATCTGACCTGAGACTGAACCACCCTTACAGTGGTGAGAGACAAGCAAGCTGCCAATGAAAGAGTGTGGTAAAAGAGTTACTAGATGTGAGGGAAACCCAGTGTAGCGTTAACACTGAGGAAAAGAAGCTGTTCAATGCCTCAGCTTTATCCTGGTCAGAATCTGCATAACTAACATCTTCAAGCCTCAGGTCTGATACTCCTACTCGCAGTTTTAATGTTGATTTAGCATAGTGGTAAAACGCCTTTGGGTTTGACTTGACCTCGCTTTCAACCAGCCTTTGGAACTCCTTTTCAGCCCTTCTATACTCTGTCTTTGCTTTGTTCCTGGCTCTTGCATACATCCTCCTGTCTTGCTCATCGTTTGACCCAACCCACGTCTTGAATTTCTGGGTTTTCTTCTTAACTTTGTCGACCGCCGCATGGTTCATGTGTAGGGATCCCCTTGTATTCCTAGAGGCACTGGGTTTGGTCTTGCGTATAAATTTATCGATAAAATGGGTCACTTTACTAGTTATGATATTCAGCATAATGTCTGCGTTCTTGTGCCTTAGTGAGTCAGGCCAGTGGATACCTCTCATCTCTTCCCTCATCCTGTCGAAATTTCCCTGGTAATATTTGCACCTTGGCCTGGCTTTATCTTGAACTAGGTAACAGTTAAATCTGAATGACAACACTACATGGTGACTGGTGCCAACTGGGGTTAGATGTTCCAGTTTGGCCACCAAACCCTCCTCGTTTGTTATGATGAGGTCTAGTGGCTTTGGTGTTTGCTCCCCTCTGTAATGTGTCAGGACTTTAACATGTTGGAACAGAAAATTATCTCTCAGAGTTTCGACAAAAAGAGTAGCAGGGTTATTAAAGTCATTTGGGGTGAACTCGTGTCTCCAGACGATGTCGCCATAGTTAAAGTCCCCCATTGATAAGGAGGTGGCTAGGGTTGAGTATCGCTGCGTTGTCTATTAAGGCTATTAAGTTCCTTTGATTTAGTAGGCTACAGCTTGGGGATCTGTAGATACACCCGACAATAAGTAAGTCCCCTCTCCTTAATTTAATTTTACACCACTTGAACTCTTCAAAAACATTCTCTCCCTGTACCTTCTCCTGGCTGACTTTAAGGTCTTGCCTAGCATAGATAACCACACCCCTCTTGCAAGTTTCTTGAGAAAGGTTCGTAAATGTGTTATATCGAGCAATATTGAACTCACATTCCTCTGGGTCGATTCTCCTGTTCTTGTACAACAGTTCTACAACTCTTACAATATCTGGTTGGTGTACCTTCAGTAGTGTTTCAAACTCCTCTCTCTTATCAAGGAACGTGTCAGTATTAGTGTACATGACATTCAAGCTAGAATTTGTTCTAGGTAACGTCTCTGCTCTTAGTAGTAACCCCCATCATTCTCAGAAGCTGCAGCATTTGCTAAGTACACTGTATTTTGCAGGGTGTGGTTAGAAATGTCATTGTTTACAAGGCGCTCGTCTTCTCCCGGCTCATCGGCTGAGCTGGTGCCACCTCCCGGGTGAGGAGTAGAGCGGGTGGAGGGTGCGCTGCTATCCTCCGTCCCTGTGTCGGCACACTTGCTTCCACTACTCTCTCCCTGAATACAACCCATGTACACACCGTCCCCGCTCCTACTCCCTTCTCTGCTTCAAGCCCAGCAGGAGCTTCCTGTGCTGTTCCCTCTGCATTACCGTGCAATCTGGGTGAATGAATACACTCTGAAATGCCTCGCTCCTTGCTAAGTTTTTTGCCTGCCGAATAACCTCCCATTTTTCCTCCTCAGTCACTAGTGTGATCCTGGGAGACGATTACTCCACACCATAATGCTTGGAGGAGCACCACACGAAAAGTTGTCAATACTTTTGAGTTAACCCGACTGCATAACGAGGCAGACAAGCGCCAATGGTGGAAAGACTCTGCCGCCCCCCCCACACTAGATGTAGCCCCCCACATGTTCAACATCTGTGATCAACCCTGCTGGTCCCATATGGACCTGTTTAGTCACCTCAGAACTCACCAACCTAGGTGACATCTTTAAAAACTCATATCATTGTATCATAGCTGGATGATCGTCATACCCGATTTTGAGTGAGAACAAAGTAGCAAAGTAGTGTGTGTGTGTGTGTGATGATGTAATGTTGGGGTATTAATATGAATAATAACTCTGGCCTAAGGTTAAAAAAGCTTTGAAAACATTTGAGGTTGATGTAGGATAGATGATTAGTGGGTCTCATGTTTTGGACCTGATTTGACCTTGCCTGTTATTATGTCACCCATTTTTTTTTATAAGCTTTTCTTTCGTTTGCAGTGGAGGTGGTGTGTGTATTAGTGGATCCCATGTTATTGACTTGACCTGATGTTATGTTTGGTCACCCATTGTATACAAGTCTTTCTCAGTTCCTGTAAATTCAGTTACCTCTGAAGACGTCTTGAATAAAGACAAAAGCTAATGTGCTCCAGTGTAGTTAGTTGACCGAGAGGTAGCAGTGAACAACACACGCGGTGGTGGCAGGACACAGCCTGAGTGGATGTAAACAAACCTGATGTGCCAAGCGAAGTGTGGCGCGTTTGGCCTGGAATGTAACAGAATTACGCTCGATTTATTGAAATAGTTCAGTAAATCAAGCGAACATATCGGAAAGCTTGATTTCGCGGAAATTTTGATTTAACGAACAGGGGTGGCTTGAATTAGTTTGTTAAACTGAGGAAATACTGTAGTAACCCAAGAAAAAAATCACTATGAGAGAAGCCATTTATTATGTCTGCAGATGGTTGTCATTCTCCAGTAACCAAATAGAACAGGTTTATAGGTACGGGATATCAACATTAATGAGGGCTAACATGTGTTGTCATGCCTGCTGAATATAAAAATTTTCTGTTAGCCCACAAAAATTTCCACTAGACTGTCCAATTTACCAGATTTCAGTTAACGAGTTACCTCTCGTAAGGACTTTCAGTTCTATTATTGAGTACAAATTATATTAACGCCAGCCTTACGAGAAACACGTTTTGGTGTGCGCATCAGCTGATCGACTCGTTCGCCAATAATCGGTTCTCTGTTTAGCTTTGTTTCCAGTGGAGTAAACCTCGAGAAAGTTGTGTTCTTGAATACTTTGGCATTTTTACATTAAAATTATTGGTCAGTCTGAAATTTAGTTAACATATTGATAATATAAAGTGCAGTGTTGGTTTAAATAAAAAAATCTGGAATATATTAATAAATAAATTGTTATGAACTTAAAATTTTATTGGTGAAATTATCAAGCATGGGTCCGAAGAAATCTCGGAAGGCGATTTCAATTCAAGTAAACAAGAAATTATTAAGAAATAAGAAGGCATTAGAACCAATGCACTCTGTATAGAATATGGCGTGTCGTCATCAACTGTGTCTACAATCAGCTGTTTGCATTGCCGCTATGTAAACAAACAAAGCCGTTGGGAATTCTACATACACACCTCAAAGTAAGTGTTCAGATATTTTATTGTTTTTTATTCATTATTGTACAATATACTGTACAGTACAGTATTTTGTTTATATTTAATGTTTTGTTAATTCTATTACCGGTATACAGTACTTTGTATTAACTGTACTTTTTAATTACTGTAATTTAAAGGAAATTCTGTTGGAACCAATTACAGTACCCAATATCCCATTGAAATAATAGATTCAGTTAACGAGATTTTCATTTAACGAGTGACTCTGTGGAACCAATTGTGCTCGTTAATAGAGGGACCACTGTTTTCTTTTTTTTTTTAGTTTAAAAAATTTATTGACACTTAATGATAGAAACAGTGGACACAGTATCAGCCAGCCCTTCAGAGGAGCTGGTTGAGGGGAGGAATGACGACTCAACTTGGACTCATAGCTTCATCTCTGGTGAATAATAGTCTCAATTTATGCTTACAGTCCTTAATTAATGTTTATTATGCTTGCTTTATATGTCTGGTTATTTTCTCGTTTGACAGTCTGAATGCCAGAGATACATCAAGGGTGGATGGGATTTTTTTAGGGGTGGTGGGGTCCCTAACCTCCCAACTTTGTAATATTCTTATGGGATTAATTGCTTCAAAAACCATTGCTTCACTATTCATTAACTTTTCACAGTCCGTATATGCATCGGTTATCGGGGTATACCTGTATAGTATATGAAGGGTACAGGAATTAATAAGCACAAATTATTACAGTAACGTACTTGTATCTTTACTTATTAATGAATAACAAATAAACACTACTGTATCATGAATGAGAAAGACAGGAAGAGAGTGGTGAGACTCACTGGGTGGGAGGGAGGCTACCCTTGTGGGGGAGGGGGGGTGACCGCGTGGTTCCCCCTCCCCAAGGATCAGTGGGTCTCATGATACTGATCTGAGCTGAGGCAGTGACAGGTCCACCCAATGTATATAAACTCTTCTCTCATTTGCAGTGGAGGTGGAGTGGAGGGAATAGTGGTCTCATATTACTGACCTTCTGATGGAATGTCAGGTCACCCATTGTCAGGGTGGGGAATCAGAGCAAAATCACTTCATAGTCAGAATGAAAACATTTCACAGTCACTAAAACAGAGTACAATGTGAACTTTAGTTATGTCCTCTCACTGTTAGGTAAAACAAAATATATAAAAAACAATGCTGATGACCAATAAACCTTGAACTCCATTTTTTACACACGCATAACCAAGAAGAAACAATGGCTGGACTGTAGTGCACCGGATGGCCATGAGGCTGCATTAGGGTAGATGACGCCTCAGCTGACAAATGAAGTGAATGATTCGTTCCATATTCCGAGTTGGCAGGATGATGAATATCGTTAATGCGGGTTTGTTTACATCACAAATAAGGGAATGGTCTAAATATATCAGTATCATTAATGCAAATTATCATAGATGGGGACACTGTAAATTGAGGTTTACCTGTAATTCGTAAGGGATAAAGCTCCTGTTATTTAAAATTATTTGAGTTTGACTGTACAGTATAGTCTGGGTTTACGCGGATATTTTATACGCTAACGGCCATTTACGCGGCACCTGTCCAAAAGCGATAATTATTATTTACGCGGTAAATGCCATCATATACGCGGCAAGCGGCGGGGAAAGGTGCTGGGCGCTGACGTCACCACTGATGTCAGACTCGCGCCAGTGACGACGCGGACTGTGATTGGGCCACGTATCCTTGCCACCCACACACCCCCTCTGCCGCGGGCTGTGATTGGTCTATTTATCCTCGCCACCCCTGCCACCCACGCTCTCCACCACCACCGCGCCAGTCTCGCTGTCCTCGCGTATATTCACTAGTGCCCAGGAACCAGTTGTGTTTTTTTCTTTCTACACAATGGCTTCCGCTGGACCCCCACCACCCCCGAGAAGCCCTGAACTACCTGACCCAAGCCCAAGAAGGTGTGATGCGCCTTAAGCTATGAGGTAAAATACAAGATCGTCCAGAAGTCAGAAAAAGGCACGAGACAGGTGGATCTGGCCATACAATATGGAGTGAATGAATTGACGATCCGCACTATCAAGAAGGTTGCCGACAAAATCAATGAACACATGAACATGACCAAGTCTGTAGGTGTCTCGCTGGTGAAATATTGCTACAATAAGGTGCTGCTGAAGAGCGAGAGTTTGTTGGTTAGCTACATTATTTGTTAGTTGAGAAGGAACATGGCGGTTGACACTCGAGCACTGCAGGACTACGCCCGGGAACTCTATGCAACAGTAGCAAGAAAAATGGGGGTTGCAGAGCCCAAGCCCTTCAGTACTTCCGCTGGGTGGCTGTAAGGTTTTAAACTATGCAACAAGATCACAAATACTGAGATAGTCAGAGAAGAAGCAAGTGCCAACCGGGCTGCCGCCATGAATTTTCCCCCATATTTACGGGAAATTATGGAGGGAGGACAGTACACCGACGACCAAGTGTTCAATATGGATGAATCAGGGTTGTGCTGGAAGAAATTGCCATCCAAGACCTTCGTAGTCAAGTCTGCTAGCAAGTGTCGGGGACGCAAAATGCAGAAGGAGAGCATCACCGCACTCTTCACCACCAATGCCTCCGGCACTGCTAAGCTGAGGTTGTCTGTGATCCACAAAGCCTGCAAGCCGCACGCCTACAAGATTATGGACATGAGCAAGTTAAATGTCCACTGGCTAACCTTTGGGAAGGAGTGGATGTTTTCTGGTCTGAACCTCTCCTGGTTTGACAACTGTCTCGTTCCTGATATCAAGAAATTCTGCGTGGAAAATAAAGTGTCATTCAACATTTTGTTGCTCCTCGACAATGCACCAGGACACTCGCCCCTTTTGCTGGATCATCACCCCAACGTAAAAGTGGTCTTCCTTCCCGCTAACACTACGTCGTTAATCCAGCCCATGGATCAGGAGTTGATTTGCAACGTGAAGGCTGCTTTCTCCGCCAAGAAGTTTCGGTTCCTGAACGACTTCACCAACACCAAGGATGAAGTGCAGAACCTAAAGAGTGGCACCGATAGCGAGAGCGAGGACGAAGAACACGAACAAGATTTGGTGGACCATGAAGTGCAAATCAAGCAGTTCTGGAAGCTGTTTAACGCGAAGAAGGCAGTTGATTTCTTGGTGGAGGCATGGGGGCAGCTATCTTTGGCAACAATTCAGCATGCGTGGCGACATGTGTTGGAGGGTATCCCAGGTAGGAGGCAGAGGCAAGCGGTGGCTGGCGAGGCTCAGTCTGTTGCTGTGGCATTGGAGAATGCAAGAGAGGCTACACAAAGTGTTAGAGCTGCAGGCTTCTCCGAGACCACCAACAACGACATCCTGGAGTTAATCAGGCTACCTGAGGTGACTGTGGACGAGATGTTGGAAGATGATGACATCAGTGAGCAGCGAGGTGTTACTGAACAACAAGAGCAGAAACTAACACATGCTGATGTGAAGGAAATCATCGAGTTAGCTGAGAGAATGAAGCTCAACCTTGCCAAAGACCCTGTCAATCATCGCTACAAAGTGTCGAATAACCATCTGTTGAAATGCCAGGAGCCCTATGTTCAGCTGTATCACGACCACATCGATGCAAGGCGTCAACAAAACATCACCGAGTTCTTCACCCGCCAACCACCACAGCCAGCCCAAGTCAGTGATAGTGAGGATGTGGACTTCGAGGGGTTTGACGAGGTGGTGGATAGAGATACAGGTGAGGGCCAATAATCTGCCCTTTGCCTCGGAACCAACCCCCCATCCCCGTGTGCCCAACCATCTCTTCTACTAATGTAAGTGTTAAAAAACCTAATATTATTGATATTTCTCTTATATATTAATTGTGTGTGCATACCATCATAAAATTAAGATGTTATTTTTACTACAATGTATGTATTTGTGTCGGCGATAGCCAAAAAAAAGGGAAGTCTGGCGGTCGGCCCAGTCTCTATTTCAATTAATCCCATAGGTTCTGTTATTTTTTTTTACGCATTTTGCTTTATACGCGGACCTCCAAGGGTTTAATTAACCACGTAAAACCAGACTATACTGTATATTAAAATATGTTTATGTATTATTTGTGTGCTATAACAGTTAGCCCCAAAATGGTTCAATATAAGGGTCTTGGGACTGGGCCAGGAACATATCCCCCTTTGTACCATGTTAAATGAGCTTTGCTTTGAATGCCATTTTTAGGAACATATCCCTTGTATAAAGTGAGGGAATACTGAATATGTTTTGAATCTAATTAGGGGATGGGATGCTGAAAATAAATAGGACATCCATTCTAACCATTGTAAAGATTATGTTCTGCAATGGTGTTCCTCTTTTACAACAGACTACCTGGTTCAACCCCATCTCTTCATATGATGCAGTAGTGAATGAAACATCAACAACGTGGACAATGAAATATTATGAAAAGTTACTCATTAATCAACTGATGGTGTGACCCAGGAGAAAATAGTTAAAGAAAGAAGGACTGTAGTAAGATTCTAAAGTGATATCAGTGACTATTAGAACATGCAATGAAAACAGTTAAAGAGCAATGTATAAGTATGAGGAATTTCAATAAAAAAAGTTTGAATAGTTTTGTAATACTGTATACAGAATAGAATTTTGAGTAGTACTATATTTGCTTAAACTTTTCTGATAAAGGGTAAGAAAAGGTATATCAAATAGACAGATATATGAAAAAGTTTCCAAGAGATGAACAGATGAAATATATCCAACGTGATTTTCTCCTATACCTGTGTGTGGGTCCATTGGCCATCTGACATATCAGGCGAGGCAAAAGACCTTCTTGAGTGGCACTGCCCAACAGTCTGGTCTGGCTGTAGCTCTATATACACACACATAAAATACAAAGAGAAACAATCATCATTAAATATAACTTTTAATGGATCAAGAGGCCTCAACTAAATGTGCATTTTTTTTAATTTAGCAATAATCAATGTAAGCATAAGCTATTGTCAAAAATCATACAAAATGTAATTAATTCATTACATGAGGTCTTAATGCATAAAGATGTTGGTCAATGATTTGCTTGTTGGATTTGAGAATGTCAATGTCAATTCCATCTGTTTCATCAAATGAAATGGTGTCTCTATCAAGACTGCTTATCTGTGAACGATGAGATAAGCTCTGCTCCAGTCCTTGACTTCTTGTGGACTTGTTGGCAGCTGATGGCATGTTCTGGCAAGTGTTGCTACTTGTAGAAGGGTCATATTCAACCTGATACAACTTTATAGCAGCATTGATGATGGAGGTCTTTCCTGAGCGTGGTGGCCCAACTACTACAACGCAGCTCCATTCTCCGAGTTCCTTGGCTAAAACTTCTACTGTTTTAATCTGTAAAATGTAAAATCTTAGTAAACTATAATGTTCAGCCTATTATTATTGTCACTATTATTAATGGTAGTAGTACTACTGTGTTACTATTATTAATACATGCATCCTCGATAATCGCGGAGGTTAGGTTCAGAAAACTACAGTGATAAGCAAAACTGTACATATTGAAACACATAACATATGGGAAAAATTAGTTTTGTCTCACGACCCTAAAGATGCATCAACTAACTGACCAAAATATACCCCCTAAAATGTGTAGCTACACTAAAAGATATAATACTAGTAGTAACATATCTTTACTATCGCATTTTACGGCATATAAGATGCACCTTTTTTTCTGAAAAATGACACAAAAAATCAGTTTGCATCCTATATGTGAAGTTGAAGTCTCCCATAAGCTAATGAATCCCCCAGTTGCTGTCTCCAGTAGGCTAAATTATACCTAACCAAAATCCAGAATTAAAAATGTTATTGCTTAATTAAACACATTATTTTTGTTCAATCCAGAATGAGCCGTCTAGCTTTATACCTAGGTATGTTAATGACTAGCAATAACTTGCAGGCCAACATACAGGCAATTAAAACATCTAATAATTACTTAATACGTAATATTAGGAGACCACGTCGCTACCTGGCATTTAATTGCAATTCTCAAAACCCCCTCTCACATCCTCCATCACAGGCATTGCTACCGTCATCTTCTTGCCTGGTGAATCAGCTGTAAATACGCACAAAGAAGGCTCCGCTAATTTGTGTTGTAATAGCTGAAATTCTAAGTGCCACGAGGATTTTACATACGGTATTTATACATCTTAGCACGGTGATGAAATCTAGCGACTTTTATTTTGTTTATGTCTCTCAGATATTGTGTTTGGGACAATTTCTTATACAGTTTGGTCAGCATGGCGACCACAGCGCATCTTCTATTATGAAGACGGTAGATCGTTAGTGACTAATATCCTCTGCTTTTAAGTCACTTAGTGAATGAAGTTGTTTTTTGCCCTTCTCAGGCTCGTCTTCACTGAAAGAATATATATATATATATATATATATATTATATATATAATATATATATATATATATATATATATATATATATATATATATATATATATATATATATATATATATATATATATATATATATATATATATATATATATATATATATATATATATATATATATATATATATGCAAGTAAATCACTGTAGGTGCTGACTTGTGTGTATGCTGTGGTTATCAGCATAAATATATATATATACAGTGACCCCGTTTAACGACGCCCGGTTAACGAAATTTGTTAACGAACTGCCTTCCATAAGGATCTTCAATTCGGTTAACGAACAAAAATGTTAACGAATTTCTTACGAACCGACCTCAACATGTTTGCTTGCACTGGCGGGCAACCAGCTTTAGTATCAGTCCAATACATTAATCGGTTCTAGGGCTTAAATTCTAACTATTTTAGTAAATATCAAGAAGTTTATACTATTCAATAATTTTAAAAGTTTAATATTCAATTTTTAGTCATTTTAACAATTACTGAACATAATGAAGTATGATTGTTTAAGCGCAGCATCAGCCTCTTAACAGCAGCAAGCGTAGTCTTCACTGAGGTAACATCTGTTGAGACTTTCAACAAACGCTTGTGTCGCTTAGTTGTCATTTGAAATATATTTTGACGCAGTACAGTGTTGACTTAAAGAAAATACTTGAAATACACCAAAGAGAACTCAATTATGGGTGAAATGAAGATGGTGACTCTTCCATTCAATGCCTTTTTCCTCCACCCCCATTGTATTATCATCATCATCATCATCCAGGAGTTTTCATCAGTAGTGACCATTTTGTTGAATTTAGTTAGGCCCATTGAAACAAGTCTAATTCTTTTTTCACGAGAACGGATTGAGTTAAACCGAGGGTCACTGTATATATATGTATATGTATGTGTATATATATATATATATATATATATATATATATATATATATATATATATATATATATATATATAAATATATATATATATATATATATATATATATATATATATATATATATATATATATATTTATATATATATACAGTGACCCTCCGTTAACGAACTCAACTGCTCCAGAAGGTCGTTCGTTAACCGAAAAGTTCGTTAACCTAAACCATTGTTTCAATGGGTTTTGGGTAATGTTCCAGCTCACCGAAAATTTCCTAAATTCAACAAAAATGGTAGAAAAGTTCACTTACTTTGAGGTGTATGTAGAAGGCTCCTGATGATGATGGATTTAGAATGGGGGTGGAGGAGAAGGGAAAACATTGGTGGAAGAAATCACCCATTCACCCATAAAATTGCTCTTGGTGTAATTCAAGTATTTTCTTTTAAATCAACACTGCACTGCAATATATTGTCAATATGTAAATATTTCAAAATAACCAATGACTAACTAAGCATTTGGTTGAAGAGTGGCAAGATGTTACCTCAGTGACAGAAAGAGACTAACTCTGTTCTGTGTTAGGAGGCTGATGCCGCACAACAGTCCTTTGCCTTCAATTATGTTCAATAAATGTTAAAATGACTAAAATTGAATAAAAAATTAGAATAGTATAAACTTCGATATTACTAAATAATGAAATTTAAGCCTAAGTATCGGACTGACTAAAGCAACTGTTACCAGGCCACCGTTAACCGGATTGAATCATGAAGGAGATCGTTAATCGAAATTACGTTAACCGGAGTGTTCGTTAAGGAGGTCACTGTAGTGAACCCTCACTTTACAGGTCAATTGAACCCACGGAGGGCAGCATAAGTGAGGCAGCGTAAAGTGAACAACATAGCATATGGGATTAATTGAAATAGAGACCGGCCGACCCCCAAACTCGACTTTCGACACAATACCTATGTTCTAGTAAAATAACATCTTAATTTTATGATGGTACACCACACAATTAATATTTAAGAGAAATAGAAATACAGTCGCCAGTTAATGTCCATTCAAATAATGGACTCAACTCCCTCCCTTCTTCTCACACTCGCTGGCTCTTCCCTCTCTGAGAAATGTTTGGAGGAAAAACACTAGATTTTAGGTATAGTAATAAATAATACCTCAAACTAAAGTTAGGATAATATAATTGACATTGCTGGATTCCTTGTAGACAGGAATATTTTGAATATAAATGTCATATTTTGTCATATTTACTCGATAAATATATAATTTGTATGTCTAATGCAAAATCTATGATGTTTATATTCAAAATGACCATCATATTATAGAATTCCAGCAATGTAAATATATTCTGGCCAGATTGTGTATATTTTATGAGCTAAATAAAAAAATATATATATTATACTTCACCATATATGATTAGATGAACGCATATATATATATATATATATATATATATATATATATATATATATATATATATATATATATATATATATATATATATATATATATATATATATACAGTCAACCCTCACTTTACGCTGTCCCACATTCCGCGTTTCCACGTTTATGCCGTGCCCTGCCAGAACCCAGGATGCTCACATTCCGCGGTGGGTGTACCCCTTTACACGGTGAAGTATAATTTTTTTATTTAGCTCATAAAATTCATACAAATTATCCGGCCAGAATATAATTTACATTGCTGGAATTTTTACAATTTGATGATCATTTTGAATATAAACATCATAGATTTTGCATTAGACATACAAATTTTAGATATAATGTTTACTCTTGAGTAAATATGTTATCTTTTGTGCAAAATATATGATATTTATATTCAAAATATTCCTGGTCTTACAAGAAATCCAGCAATGTCAATTATATTATCCTAACTTTAGTCTGATTTATTATTTATTACTAAAAAGGTAAACAGTCTGGTATTCCCACACATTTATCTAGTAGGGACGTTGGTGGGGGGTGGGAGGGAGGGAGGGAGGGACCGGCGACCGACCATCTGTTACCGTGTGAAGAATATTTTTTTTTTTATTAACTGAAGATTTTTATTTTAGCTCATAAAATTCATACAAATTACCCGGCCAGAATATAATTTACATTGCTGGAATTCTTACAATTTGACGATCATTTTGAATATAAACATCATATATTTTGCATTAGACATAAAATTTTTAGATAAAATGTTCACTCTGAGTAAGTATGTTATCTTTTGTGCAAAATATATGACGTTTATATTCAAAATATTCCTGGTCTTACAAGGAATCCAGCAATGTCAATTATATTATCCTAACTTTAATCTGAGGTATTATTTAATGCAAAATGTTAAAATTTATTTTTTTCACCCACTCTTTCTCTTGGTGGGGGGTGGGGGGGAGGGTTGGGACTGACCGCACGGTTGGAAGAGGGGGGGAGGCAAGGTGGGGTACTTTGATTGACAGATAGTGTCGTGAAGAATATATTTTTTTTTTATTAACTGAAGATATTTGTTTTAGCTCATAAAATTCATACAAATTACCCGGCCAGAATATAATTTACATTGCTGGAATTCTTACAATTTGATGATCATTTTGAATATAAACATCATAGATTTTGCATTAGACATACAAATTTAAGATGTAATGTTTAATCTGAGTAAATATGTTATCTTTTGTGAAAAATATATGACATTTATATTCAAAATATTCCTGGTCTTCCAAGGAATCCAGCAATGTCAATTATATTATCCTAACTTTAGTTTGAGGTATTATTTATTACTATACCTGGTTTTCCCCCCAAAATTTCTCAGAGGGAAGAGCCAGCAGTGTAGTGTGAGAAGAGGGGGAGGGAGTCGTGTCCATTATTTGAATGGACATTAACTTGGCGACTGTATTTCTCTATTTCTCTTAAGTATTAATTGTGTGCATATACCATCATAAAATTAAGATGTTATTTTTACTACAACATAGTTATGTGTCATCAAAAAGTGGAGTTTGGGGATCGGCCTGGACTCCATTTCAATTAATCCCATATGTTATGTTATTCACTTTACGCGTTTCTCGCTTTC